GGGTTCATTTGCTCTCTACTGCTTAATCAAAAAGTCAAAAAAGTTCTACTGAGCCAATGAACCCACTATTTATAATATAAAAAGCCAACGGGTTCCAAGAGCCACCACCTAAAAAAGATCCATGTAATAAAATTGTTGAAACCCATGAACAATTATTACGTCCTCTGACCTGACGTAGAGGCACGTTCGGCCGCCAATAGCATGTCGCCACGTGCTTTTACTCTTTACCGCGCGGCCTGACGACTTGACCCGGAGCGGAACCCGGGAATGCTATGTTCGCGATTTTCTCGGTATTGCTCGGTATTTGCTCGGTATTGCTTTGCAAAAATGAGAAATACCGAGATATTTAAAATATATCCAAAAAGTGATGGAATGTTGATCGGTCGTCAAGGAATTAAAAAAACGCACGCGCTAGAACCCAAAAAACAGCGGGTCGGGTCGGCGACTTTTCTTCGTGCTACGTGGCGCTAAAAAGTTGGTGGCCGAACGTAGAGGAGCGTACGTTCACCGAACCGGAGCTGTTGTAGGACCTACAAAAAAACTTAAAGTAGAGAGAAATTCAAGCCATGAGTAGGGCGGACATACCTGATGATCATAGAATAAATCCAAAAGTAGAGCTCACTAGCAAGCACCCAAGACAAAATGCAATACGGTACACTATGGTTGTAATTATAGAGGTTAAAGTTAATTCACTAAGACATGGTTCCAACAACAATTCCTAAAAGTAAAAGAACACATCAAGAGGACCTTAAATAGGGCAAGCCAGGCCGATCAAGATTAGCTAACCCTTCCACCATTTTGGGCATAGTAGAGCTAGAAAATTCCACAGTACTCAACTTACAACCAAAATTAGCCAACCAATCAACACGCATATTGCCTTCACGCAAGATGGGGGTAATATAAAAATTAATGTTGGACAAGCACTGCTTAATTTCACTAATCAAATAAAAATTTTCAGCATTACGATAATTATATTTCATAACATAATGAATGAGAAGCATAGCGTCAACCTCAATCTAAAGGTTAATAATACCTAAGTTATGGAAGATGTTAATACCATAATTAAGAGCATACAGTTTAGCCATAATAGTAGACGAAGCCAAAAGAGGACCAACATAAGCATAAACAACTTTACCATTATGATTCTTAATCATTCCACCCCCGCCAGCGGCAGACCCTTGAAAAGACCCTTTAGTATTTAATTTAAACCAACCGTGAATAGGTTTCATCCAAATAATAAATATACCGTTATTAGAATAGGAGGAATGACCAATATGCATACCAAAAAAACAAACCACAAAAGAGTAGCCTCTGAAACAATCAGCCTTTATGATCACTTATTCAACAAATTATATATGTATTATGGTAAACTATAATAATTAGTTCTTCCATGTCTAATACAACCTTCAAAGTTACAAAATTTTCTCATTTTATTTAATGCCTCACTAATTATTAGTGTACTATATAATAAAATAGTTAGTGCACTCGCAATATAGAGAGAAAGTATTCTGTGCGGAGACCAGATGCAGAACATCATCCGGAGATCAACCAGAATGCACAAGTCAGCGGTACCGAGCGGTACTGAGCAGTATCGAGCCGTGGTATCGAGCATAGGGGTGATGTGGGGCATTCTGATTGGATTTCGGACGACGCTCAGCGTTCGAATCCAATATAGAACTATTGATCATATCATTCTTTCGTTTTTATTATGATTCACTGCTTCAACTATAAGCATTCTCTAATGTCTGCTAGGCAAGTAACAAAATGACTTTACATTTACGAGTGCCTAAATTTTGTATCTTGTTTGAAACCCTAATTCCTTGGATACTAAGAAATAAAGCACCGTAGTCCAGTCCTCCATTGAAGCTAATATGGATTTATTGACACCATAACTTTGGGTTTTAGTAGGTCCAATCATCATCAAACTTGGTGTATACCCTTCTAGAGGCCCAATGAGCTTTTGTAATAGCGTGGGTGCCCTATCTTATTTGTATGAATCCTACCAGATGCTCTTAGCAATTCACTTTCTTACACTCACATTGAGCATTAATTAAGATTGGACTCTTTGATCAGAGCTCACATCTTACTATAATTAACTATTTTCATATCTTTAATCATGTACTTAGCTTCTTTTTTGAGTCTCAACCTACACTTGAAATTATAAAATCTCTTTTATATAGGCTCACATATTACTTTATGTCTTCAATATAACATTGGACTACAACCTCTAATACTAACCACTTGAATCTAACATCAGAATCCATTAAATTAAGGTTTCATCTGGGATGACTATTTTACTGTTTTTTAAAGTAGAACTCTAATACAAAAGTTTCAAATTCGAATTTTTTATACTAAAAAACTATTTAAAAAAAGCAGTAAGAAAACCGTCCCAAACGAAACATAAATCTCTTAAAAATATATTTCCTAACAACAAACAATTAACCAAATGAGCCTTGAACGGGATCCACAAATGGAGAATTGTTGTTGGTGTTTGAGGGAATTTTGGATTTTTTATTTTTTGCAATTAAAATTAGGGGTGTCAATTCGGGTCAACGGGTCGGGTTCGGCTCGAATCCGACTTTACCCGAGCATAAACGGGTTGGCCCGAACCTGACTCATTTAGCTAAACGGGTAAAGATTTTCAAACCGGATCTGACCCGTGCGGGTTACTTGGTTGACCTAACCCGACCCTCGAACCCGGGAACTTAGATCTGGAGATCGGGATTCGTCGATTTGGGAGCGGTTCGAGGCGCCACCGCGTCACGGGAGAGCTGCGCACTTGCAAGTCTGCGAGAGCTTGCGGCTTGCCTAGCGTGACACCGGTGCGACACTGCGGCTCCGCGATTCGGTGCGACACGAGCCTCACGAGGGCTAGGGCGACTGGGCGAGGCGAGACTGGACCGACTGGTGTGGCTCCAGTGCTCCATGGTTCGATGCGAGCCTTACGAGGGCGAAGGTCTAGGGCTTTTCGAGCACAGTGTGGCTATGTTGTGCGGTTCAAGCTCGACGCGAGTCAGCGACTATGTGAGGCGGGTTGGCAGTCGGGTCAATCCTGGGTCAATTTCGGGTTACCAAGTTGACCCAGACCCGACCCATTTTTTAAACGGGTCGAAAGTTGAGACCCGAACCCGACCTGTTTGTTAAACGGGTCGACCCTAACCTAAATTTTTCGGATAGGGTACGGGTCGGGTTGTCGGATCGTGTCAATAATTAACACCCCTAATTAAAACTTCTAAAATTTTATTATTTACAATAACTTATTATATTTTATTTCAAAAATATTCTCCTACTGTTCCCAATTAATCATTCACATTTACATAATTGAATCAAAATTTTAGCATATTTTCTATGTATGAGGCTTTGCGGCAAATTAATAGCAGATTACAATGAATTTGTAACAAAATTTTTTTTTCAGCAAAATATCCCTCCAGGTTTTTTTTAATTAGCACCTAATTTACCTACTAATTTGCAACATATTTGGAATTTTTTTGCAAAATTCATCGCAAATCTGTTAAGAATTCGATAGCTAAATTGATATTTTATTGTTTTGGCCAACTTTTAACCAATACGTAGCTAATTAGCTTAGGATTATTTCTATAGCAATTTTCTGAAGCAAATTAGCAGGCATAATTGCAGATAAGAGTTGTTGAGCAATATCAGACTTAAGAAAAAGTAAACTATTTTTAATTCTGATAAATATATAATTATCACTGTGAAATTAAAAATATGAATAAAATAATAAGTAATATTAGTATTGAAATAATAAATGTAGTTGGGTCAATCAAAAGTCTGAATAGAAAGAAAGTGTGGAGGGAACATTGGTTAGATGAGAGAAATTTTGAAGAGAGATGAAGACTATGGGATGGTTCTCTATAACATTTCTACAATAATCTTTAAAAAAAGATTGTAGTTGCCGGGCCTTAAATATTTTTTATATTAGTTTAATTGTTGTGTGAAAATAATTTTTTTTATATAAATATATTTATTGTTTAAGAAATTGGATAATATCTTCTTTATAAGTACTATATATATTAGTAGATTTAATCGTAAAAAAAGTTTTTAATCATATAAAATTTTCAAAATTTCGAGAAAATAATTATACTCAAATAAAAGTATGATTATGATCTAAAAGTAAAATAATGAAAAAAACTGTCACAAATAATCTTTCATAGTAAAAAAAAGTGGTTGCATGATAAAAAGTTCTTTAATTCAGTGGAATGAGCTGGATTTAGATCATGTCCAATCAAACTGCATACCATTGTATGCCGTCCGCGAATTGCTGTATTCTAACTCCAAAACTCCAGCAAAAAATTGGTAGGTGAATAGTTGACGTTAATATTGGCGTCGGATTATTCACTTACGCCAAAAAAAGCGATTACCTTCGCACTCTGCTTAGCTTCACATGAAGCGTGCGAAACAGAAGAGAGATGGTTACCTTCGTAAAGAAGCGCGCGAGAAAAGAAAAATGGAGTTCCGCATTTTGAAATTTTACGATATTTTAGAGTGAAAAATAGGATTTTTGGTTGGAGATGCCCTTGAGTCAGTCTTATTGCATATCTACTTTCCCGTTAAGCACCAGTTTGTTTGCCTAGTAGATTTTGAAGCTGATTTGCTTTCGAGAAAGCTGTTACACATACCAAATGTCAAGTGCTATTCTGTATAGGAACCTTATGTACACAGCAGTTTAAAATAGACTTCGTTTGGGATGACTTTTTTACTGCTTCTTAAAATGATTTTTTAGTACAAAAATCTTTAAGAAGCAAGAAGAAAGCTGTTCCAATTAAAGAAGACTAAAACTTTGTTTGGTATGACTTTCTTACTATTTTTTAAAACAGTTTTTTAGTAAACAAATTAATAGAACAAAAATTCCCCAAGAACAATGAAGCCTAAGTAGAAATCATTAATTAACAAACATGCTTCAGATGTACAGCAGTAAAAATAGAGAACGTCAAAATACAAAACACATTTCCAGTTCAAACAATGTAGCATCAAAATTCACATGACAAAGACACGTACATAACCAATTAACCCCAAAAAATTACAACATGTATATAAAAAGGACAAACAATCAAGCAATGCAACATATCAAATACAAATGACTTACAGCGACTAAAACGACAACACAGTAATCCAATCATATAAACAGAAACATACATAAAACATAGCTGAACTGCTGAACTCAGGCTTCTGTTCTCACGGGCTTTCGCTAGCAGCTGGTGGTGATGAGAAGAACGGAATAGATGGGAATGATGGAATGCTCAAAGGGATTCCGGGAATGGAAGCTGGCAATGGAGGGAAGGCGAGCTTTGGAATGTTTGGAATCGTGGGAATGGTTGGAAGGGTGGGGATGGCCGTCGGAATTGCAGGCAAAGGAAGCGTAGGAAAGGAAGGCACGGCGGGCAACGGCGGGAGAGATGGCAGAGTCGGCAATGACGGTAATGATGGAGCCGGCGGTGACTCGGGGGTGGCGGCTGTGTCGAGGAGATGGCGTGCACCATGACAGAGAGAGCTCTCGAGCAAGGCGAGCGCCATGAAGAAGTAGAAGAAATGGTTTATGAGAGCCATTGAGGTTGATGGAAGGGGATTGGAGAGAAGAAGAAGTTGATAGATATGTGGTTGATGAGAAAAAGAGGAGAATGGTTGTCTTATTTATAGTTGATGGAAGAAGGAAAATATGTTTTTAGTTGTTTTTTGGTCATATGGTGGTAGTTAATTAGCTGGCTAACAAGAATATAACTACTATTTATGCGAGGTTTTATATGATTATTAAAGAGTTGGGGTTAATAAAGTTCTCATGTTTTTGTTATCGTTAGTTCACCTTCCCAGTTCCCTCTTCATTTTTATGGAATAAAAAATTTATGTTCTTTATAAAAAGTCTCATTGATTATGACTGGTGATCATTTGGAGGTGAGTCCCAATCTAATATAAATCTCAATGTTAAGTTTAAGGGTGATAAGCAATTTCTTATTGTTTTTTCTAGTTTAAAGAAATCCAAATATAGAGAAAAAAGGTAAATTAATTTGTTGTGTCCTGAAATATTCGCGACGACGGAGAAATATAAAGTTTAATGTCTTAGCTTTGTATGAAGATCCAACATACGATCAAATAAAAGAGAGGGTGTAGTCTTTATAAGAGACATGAGTTTTTATGTGGAAACCCCTGAAAAGGGGGAAAACCATAGGGTCTGGACCAATTTGAATGAATCCACTAGTATTTGCAGTCAATTACAAATGAGGACCTTTCTTGAGGGAAGGCCTTAGTTTGATGTAGCAAATATACATCACATAAAGTGCATTACATGGTGGGAATGGGAAGAATCAGTATTGACATATTCGTCTAGTCGGCGGACGATGAAGGTCGGAAATACCGTAGTCGGGTGACGGTGGTCGGAAGGACCATAGTCGGTGAGTGACAGAGATCGGAAGGTTTTTTATCTGACAATGGAGGTCGGAAAGATCATGGTCTGATGAAAAAGATCATAAGGATTGTAATCTAGCGACGGAGGTCGGAAGGACCGTAGTCGGCAAATGAGAGTAGTTAGAAAGACCGTTGTCTAGCGACGGAGGTCAGAAGGCATGTAGTCTAGCGATAGAGGTCGAAAAGACCATTATCTGGTGATGGAGGTCAGTAAAAAACCGTAGTCTGAAATAGTTTTGTCCGCGGGAAGGGGGGGGGGGGGGGGGTGGCGTGGTGCGACGATGGTAGGTGGCCAAGTAGAAGTCAGACGTCTGTCGATATACAGGAGGAAGTCCGACGACGTTCGATGGTTCGACAGTGGTCGAGGAGGAGATTGGTGGCAAGATTTAACTCTATTTTCCCTCTCTTCCTTGCTTTGATACCCTTTTCCATGAGGAATGAGGGGTCTATTTATAATTTTCTGAGAGAGCCATAGCCACTAAATAGGAGGAAGATCAAGGGTATGTTGAGAGTGGTTTGAATGGACGACCAATGTTAATCCCCTTGATTGTGGACCATTTACTGGGCATTTGAATATCTTAATGACATCAGAATTTGGCGATCTTGGGTTCGTTGGATTCTTCTTATCGAGCCACTCAATTCGACTATAAGCATATCACTTTTGGAAATCGTTTGTTCATGGTTTGAAAATTTTAAATGCTCTTTTGGTCTTCGATTTGGATTCATTTCGCCTCGAATTGAGATGAATTTGGTGTCATTGGGTTCGTATTTTTGAGACTTTCAGCTCGACTGTAAGTTCACTAAAATCGGAATTTGGATGGTCCCAAATTTAATTTTTGAAATTTTTGACTTGATTTTACCTCAATTTTCATGCGCGATCAAAATAATTATTTGATTTCATATCAATTTTAATTCTTATGAATCTTTCAATGATTCCTTATTCGAATCATATTCAAGAACAGATCGATTAGCATTTGATTAATTTATTGAATAAGAAAGATTTATATTCTATTAGAATTTGATAAAATATTCGATCATCAATCAAATTTATATTTTTGTTCAAATATTATTTAAATCAATTTTAATCGCCAATGTCTTAAAGTAGAAATCATTGTTAATTTATTTTAAATCATAGCAACTCATTTGTTTTAAAATGAGATGTTAATTATCCAATATTTTCAATATTTGTAAAAATATTATCTATTATTTTAATTTTTATATTGTTAACCTTGTGTATTTATAATTTCATTTTAGTATTCATTAACAAATTCATTTTGCAATAGCCAGTTAAAACAAATTTTAATTATAAAATTGCACCCATATAATTTCAATATTTTAGATTTATTAGACTTTTATGATCTAATATTACTTGGTGGGTTTATATTTTTTATCTTTATATCCAATTTAAATTGATTTTTATGCCCACAATAGAAATATCTAAAAATATTTGCAACCATTTAATTTAACTTTCATCAAATTTTAAATTATTATGAAAGCATTTTAAAATAATTAAATGTAGTGGATGGTTATTGACACAACCCGAAACTCGACTTGGACCCCACCAGCAAAAATTCGGGTTCGGGTCAACCCGTTTGTAAAATAGGTCGGGTTCAGATTTTTGACCCGTTTGTTAAATGGGTCGGGCTCGAGTTGACCCGAAACCCGCAGGTCTACCCGGCTAACCCATTAGTAAAAAAACTTTTGAAATCAAAGAAAAAATAATGATGTAAAATTGTTCTAAACGATGACTAAGAAATTATTTGAACTCCGTTGAGTTTTTTAAACATACAAATAATTGATGTCGTGTAACTAAATTTTAATAAACTTTCTTTTAATTATAAAACTTCTTTGAAAAAAGCAATACATATTAAGACATGCGTCTATATTTACCATTAAACTAACTAAAAAAATAATCCAATCAATGGGGTTGTACTACGCAAACGTACAAGAAAAAAAATACATCCAATTGATGCCGTGTTAGCTTAATGTTTTGAAATCCCATTAAGTCCAGTTCAGGTTGGCGGGTCGGGTCCTGGTTGTATATCATGAATCATTTATCTAAACGGGTTGGATTTGGGTCAAGCCCTTTATGCCCGGATCAACTTGGGTTGGACCCCGATCCGTTGACCCGAATTGACACCCCTAGTTGCAATAATTCTGAGGTGGTGTAAGGATGAAATTTAAAGTCGAAGAAAAAATGATGACAGAAGTCAGACTATTTTATTGATAAAATATGCCTTTCCCTCATAGTAATCCTATAACATAAATGATTTATAATTTTTCCACATATGAAAATTATTATGGCTCCAAGAAGATTGTTCTTAAAAATTTTGAAGCGCCTCACCATGATCCATTGTCCTGAGGCAACTAGTCTTGGCAAGAGCTTTCAATATATCATTTTGGCTGGGGGTCAATGAGGCCATAAACATTGATAAAGAATGTTGGTAGACATCGAGAGTTGCATACCCACATAAATTAGAAGTTAAATTTTGATATGCTTCTAGAGTTGTTGGATGTTGGAAGGCATCAATGAGCTAAACACATCATGTGTTCTTTATTGGCTTATATATCATGTTGTGCTCTAATGGGCATCAATCAAATATAATGCATGGTGATTGTTGGTAGCTAAAAGTTGGGTTGTTGATCAATAGTGAATATTAGGAGTTGAAGATCAACAAATATAGATTGATTAATAATGTCAGAAATCACTATTTGATGGAAGTTTGACGTTGTAGGGTAAAGTCCTACATGGGGTCCTTGTTGGGTACCCAGTGGGTGGCATGCACTACGCGGATGGGCTTCGCCTATTCACACCCATCCATGGTGACTTTTGAGATGCCTCCCACCCATACACACTTGCTTTTCATATTTTTTGAATGCAGTCTGTTATGAACTGATGGCCTAGAGGTTTGTTGACCTTTGCTCTAAATGCAAACTTTCAAGCCGTATATCATAATTTATCGTAATCGTAGCACGGTTCAGTGTTGCACACTGCATAGTGAGGATTGTGATAATATAAGACATACACTGATTATCAATGTTAATTGATTTATCCCCCGATGTTTAATACCCACTCATATCCACCCACGAGGTCATGGGTGTACCCATGCCCATTAGGGAGGGTGGGTACGTGGCTGGGTGTGGGAATGGGTACCCAATGTAGGGCTCTGCTTTAGGGTGATCAATCGTGATAAGTAAGGATGATAACAAATGTCATCAAGAGACATCCTAAGTCGGAAGTGGGCATGCAATTAATAGTCAAATCTAAGTTAGTTGATGCCAGTCGACTGATGTGATGATAAGCATTAGGATCTTGACCTTGATTGACATAAGTGGACATCAATGGATTCTAAATATTAGGTGTTACTATTTAGTTGATGTATAGTGTTCTAGGTTGATGGATGTCCATGATGGGAACCAAAAATGTCAAGAGTTGTATGTCTTTGAATGTCAGCAGTTAGACAATGGCTAATGTTGGTCAATTATAGATGTTAGGGTGACATTGATTGATACAAGTTCTATTTTGTGATCATAAAGTAGTTAATGAAGAATGACGATGATTGTTGTAATGTCAAATTGTTCATTTGCCTTTGAAACTGTACCAGACGATCGAATAGGATAAGTTTGAGCAGAAGGAATCTAGTAATGATGGATTTGATGTTCAAAACAGAGGTCAAATCTTATCTTTAAGTTTATAGTTTTTAGAAATGAAAAACATTATCTATTTAAAACATCAATATATATTATTTGATAGAAAATAAAATAATCAGTATCTTGTAAAAAATTACAATTTGTTATGAAAAATATTATCTATAATTTTGCAAGAACAAAGTCATGCGATTTAGATTTCGTTTGAAACGGCTTTTTTATTGCTTCTTAAAGCAATTTTTTAGGACAAAAAAATAAAATTTTGGTACTAAAAAGCAGTTTTAAGAAGCATTAAAAAAGTCGTCTCAAACGAAATCTTAGGCTTCATTTGGGACAGTCTTTTTACTACTTTCTTAAACAACTTTCTAGTATAAAAGTTTCTTGAATTAAAAAATGTTGTGCTAAAAATCCATTTTATAAATTAGTAAGAAAATTATTCCTAACGAAGTCTAAATTTCATGTAATAGAAATGACTGAAGAAGAAGTAAGCCTCTCTAAGAAATATTGAGAAACACACATGCTATGCATCCATGAAAGTAGATAATCATCAATTTACAAGCAGAAACAATAATTAATTAATACTTAACACATAACACAAACAACTTAGCACATAATTAATTAAATCCAAACACAAAAACGTGTACATAACTCACACAACACAACATATCAAATACAAAAGATTTACACCTAAAACAACACCACTGTAATCAAATTATGTAAACAGAAACATGGAATCTGCCGCTGGTTAAGACTTCGTTATCACGGGCTTTCACTTGCTGCAGGTGGTGGGGAAAGAAAAGGAAGTGATGGAATACTGGGAATGGAAGGCAAAGGAGGCAATGACAATTTTGGAATGCTGGGGATTGTTGGAAGTGGAGGCAAAGCAAAGTTAGTAAGGGCCGGTAAAGCAGGTAGCGGTGGCAGTGCTGCAGGCTGTAGGATAGACGGCAGAGTTGGCTGCGGTGGCAACGACGGAAACGGCAGAGCTGGCTGCGGTGGCAACGATGGAATCGGCGGTGATTCAGGAGCCGGGGTGTCGAGGAGATGGCGTCCACCATAGCATAGAGAGCTTTCGAGGAAGACGAGCATGATGAAGAAGTAGAAGAAATGATTTACACGAGCCATTGAGTGGAGGGAAGGGGGATTGGAGAGAAGAGTTGCTTTCTTTCTATGTTGTTGATGAGTGTGGAGGAGAGGATGTTTGTGTATTATTTATAGTTGATGGAAGGAAGAGAAGATGTGTTGGGGGGGGATTATCTCGTCATAAGGTAGGTGGTTAATTAGCGAGCTAACGTGAAGAAAACTAGAAAAGTACTGCTTTGCACGGTTTATACGAGATTGTTAAAGTAGTTTGGTTAATAAATTTCTCATGTTTCTGTTATTGTTTGTTCACCTTCCAAGCTACCTGGTCTTTTTTAGGAACGTGTCAGGACACGTGTTTTCTATCTGGCTTGGAGAAATTTAATTATATATAAAAGAATAACAGGATAATATTAGGATAATATTAAGATATAATAGCTTTTTGAGATGGGCGTTCGGATATATTTGGCCAATATGCAAACTTCATTTTAGTCTATCTTATGAAGCATTTGCTTAGTAATTAAGTGCCTTAACGAAATAGGAATTAAGTGATCTTGGACTCATTGGATTCTGTCTCATCGATCCGCTCGATTCAACAATAACCATATTATATTTGGAGATCATTTGGTTTTTTAATTAATGTTTGAAGTTTTCAATTATATGTCAAGTGCTTGATTTTGTCTCATTTAGACTCGGATGTTCAATTCGATTATAAATTTGTTGAAATTATATATATATATCATCACAATTTTTTATCTTGAGCGGGTACAAATCTCAAGACAAAATTTATTTCTGAAATTAAATTCGGAACCATTCGAACTCTGATTTCATTAAACTTATAGTCAAACTGAACGTCTTGAAAAGATGAACCCGATGACACCAAATTCGACTCAGTACGTGTCACGACCCAACCCGATCAGAAAGAATCCCATCGCGTTGAGTCGCGACGGATGAATCCAGGATCTAGTTTTGAAATTTATTTTCAAACTTTTCTTCCAATACACAGACATACAAGAAAATACAGAGCTACTATAAACATCCAAATATATAGAAAAGCTCATCCATGATTTTCTTTCTTCTCATTCTTCAGAATAATCATATACATTAAGTACATGGCTTCAAACAATAGATACAGAACAGAAATAAAATAGCCATGACTGTACAAAAAATCAAAAGTACAAAAATACATAATCTCAGATCAGATCCTGAACGGCTAGTCCAAAACTTTATTCCCTTTCCCATAACCTGAAAATCATGAAGATAACCACAGTGAGCTAACAGCTCAGCAAGACTACACTAGCCGATCAGAATTCTCATATTCACACATTTCAAAATATATCACAAACTTTAAAAACAGTTTATTCAAATACCATACATAATTCAAATATTCATCAGAAATCCAGATATACAAACAGAATTCGAACAATCGTACAGAAATTAGACAATTAAATAGAATTCAGATATTCGTGCAGAACAAATAAGATAACATATACATGAGAGCTGAGTCAAATTCATGTCACAGAATTAGCCAAGTCAGAATTCAAAATAGATTTCAGAAAACATTTCACTTCACATTTCAAAACAGAATTCCCTGACTCAGACAGAATCTCAAAGGATTCTGGCCCCTTATGCCTCCATTCCATGACACGGATAGAATTTTAAAGGATTCTAGCCCCTTATGCCTCCCTTTGTGCTTATTGCACCAGAACATATCAGATATACAGAATTATCAGATCAGAATTCATTTCATATTCTCTGACCCAGACAGAATCTCAAAGGATTTTAACCCCTTATGTCTCCCTTCTCTGAAACAGACATAATCTCAAAGGATTCCGGCCCCTTATAACTCTCTTCTAATATCATTCAAATCACATCAAACATCAAATCATATCAGATTCAAAGAAATCAGATTCGTATCAGAATATCGTCAAAGAGTATAACGGCAGACAACATAAATTCAACGGGTCAGAAATTCACAGTTTCAGAAAATTATCAAATTTCCAGAAATAGTGTAAAATATCATTTCAAGACTTTCATTGTACTGAAGCAATATTTTTCAACATCCAAATAATTTTTTATTCGATAAAAACTCCGCAGAATTCAAAATACTTGGTAAAAATTTTTCAGAAAATACTCAAAACGTGCAAAATTATCATCTCTACAATATACCAAAAGTTACGCGGTAAAAGTTTTACCGATACAAAGATATACCCGTTTTTCGCTAACAGAAAATTCGTCAAAACTCACATTTCTGAAAATTCAGAAAAGCATAATGTGTCTTACCTCGAGTCGATCAACTTTCCTAACTGCGTCGTCGAACGAAAATGGACCAAAGGTGCCCAAAACGTTGATTTCTTCCTCTTTTCTTCGTTTTCTCTCTGCTCTTTCTATCTCTTCAAAAAAAATCAAACATTTCTTAAAAAGATATTTATGATCGTCCAGACGATGTTTCTCGTTTCTCCCGGGACGATCTCCTATGTACACTAATCGTACGGACGATAATGGATTTTCGTCCCTGGATGATGCTCTCTGTCAAAAAACATTTATTCAATTCGTCCAGATGAACTTACGGTTCGTACAGACGAACCTACACTTTACTCGGTTCATACAGGCAGTTAGTACATACTAACCATATAGATTTTTAAAACTTTCTTCAGTTCGTACAGACGGTTCATACGTACTAACTGCACACAATTTTTTTTTTTCAAAAATAACTTGAATGTTTAAGGGTTTCACAATACGAGCCTGAATGGGTCCAAATTAAAGGTCCAAAGCGTATTTGGAAGGTTCAAACTATAAATTGATGAGAAAATGATTTCTAAATGTGGCATGCTTATAGTCAAATCAAGCAGCTCGACGAGACAAATCCAACAACCTCAAGATCATTGAATTTTGTCATCATTCAGGCACTCAAATACTCGATGAACGATCTATAATCAAGGAAGTCGATATCGACCGCCCATTCAAAACACTCTCAACATGTCCTTAATCTTATCACTATTTAGTGGTCATGCCACTTCAAAAAAAACTATAAATAAACTTCTCATTTTTCATAGAGAGGGGACGAAAGATGGAATGAGAATAATAGAGGAGAGGAAGAGAAATATGAGATCCCTCTTTCCAACAAGCTCATCCTTGACCACCGCTCGACCACTGACTATCGCTGGAATTTTGTTGGACTTCTGCCCAAACACAAATTTTATACCCGAACACCGATTATCATCAAATTTCCTACTGACCACCATTGCCGACTACGATCTTTTCGACCCCCGTATGTTTCCCTCCTATTACAGTCCGTCAGACCACCTTCACTTGATTATGGTCTTTTCGACCTCCGTCGCCTAACTATGGCCTTTCTTATCGCTGTGACCCGTCGGCTACAGTCCTTCTGACCTCCATCACCAGCATTGATCTTTCTAAACACAATCATCTGCCGACTAAGACCCTTCCGACCTTCTTCTCCAGATATCCTTCTAACCTTCATCACCAGCTAACTATGATTCTTCTGACCTCTGTCGCCACACTATGATCTTTCTGATCTCCGTCGTCAACTGACTACGGTCCTTCCGACCTCTGTCGTCTACTGACTACGGTCCTTCCGACTTTCGTTGCAAAACTTCCATCTTTTCGACCTCTATTGCCCATCGACTAAGGTCCTTTCGGACCTCCGTCACCAGATAAAAGTACTTCTGACCTTTGTCACCTGCAAACTATAGTACTTCCAAACTTTGTCACCATATAACGATTCTTTCGAGCTCTGTCGCCCGCCGACTACGGTCCGTCCAACCTCCTTCGCCTGACAACATTCTTGTCAACCTTTGTGGACTGCCGACTATAATCCTTTTGACCACCGTCACCTAATTACAGTCTTTCCAACCTCCTTCGCCCACCGACTATGATACTGCTGACCAAATAAACATGTCAATACTGATTATTTCAATTCCTACCATATAATGCATTCTATATGATGTATATTTGCTACAATAAGCCAAAGCCTTCCCCCAAAGGAAGGTCCTCATTTGTAATCGATTGCAAATGCTAGTGGATTCATTCAAATTAGGCCAAGCCCTACAATCTTTCCCCCTTTTTAGGGGTTTCCACATATAAATTTTGATGTCACTTATGAATGCTACACTCTTCTTTTTTATCTGAATGTATGATGAATCTTTATACAAAGCTAAGACGTTAAACTTTATATTTCTCTATCACTGTGCATATTCCAGGATGCAAATATTTATAGTGATATGTTATCGAAAAAATATCTTGATCGGGCATAAATCTCGAGGCAAAAATCAAGTTGGAAAATTCAAAAATTAAATCCGGGATCATCTGAACTCCGATTGCAACAAACTTACAGTTGAACTGAGCGTCTCAGAAATACGAACCCAATGACACCAAATTCGACTCAATCCGAGTCCAAATGTGTCCTAATCAATGACCCTAAGAGATGTTGAAAGGTTTAAACCACAATTTGGATTACCAAACGGTTTCCAAAAATGATGTGCTTATAGTCGAATCAAGTGACTCGACGAGAAGAATCCATCGAGCTTAAGATCACCGAATTCCGACACCACTAAGACCTTCAAATATCTGACAAACGGTATATAATCAAGGTGTTCAATATCGGCCGTCCATCGAATCACTCCACATTTGCCCCTGATCTCTCATCTATTTATGGGTCATGCCACTCCAAAAAATCTATAAATAGACCCCTCATTTCTCTTGAGAAGGGGGAAGCAAGAAGAGAAGAAAGAAGAAGAGAAGGAAGAAGCTCCTCCTCGACCACCGTCGGACTTCCACCGGACCACTGCCTGACGTCGTTGCTCCTCCGGACCACCGCCTGACGTCGTTGCTCCGCCGGACCACCACTTGAGGCCCTCACCTCCGCCGGACCGCCGCCTGATGTCATTGCTCCATCGAACCACCAGTTGAGGCACTCATCTCCGCCAGACCACTGCTTGACGTCGTTGCTCCACCTGACCACCACTTGAGGCCCTCACCTCTACTGGACCACCGTCTGATGTCGTTGCTCCGCCGGACCACCACTTGAGGCCCTCGCCTTCTCCAGACGACCACTTAAAGCTCCAAGCTCCATCGGACCACCACTTCAGGCCCTCACCTCCCCCGTACCACCGCCTGGCATTGTTGCTTCGCTGGACCACCACTTGAAGCACTGAGTTTTGCCGAGTCACCACTTCAAGTCCTCACCTCTGCCGGACAACCACTTGAGGGCGTGAGCTCTACCGAACCACCACATGAGGCCCGGACTTCTACCGGACCACCACTCGAGATCCGGACTTCTGCTGGGCCACCATCTAACGCCCAGAGTTCTACTAGAGTACCGCCCTACTACAACGATCTTTCAAACCCTGGTCTCCTGCCAACTACTGTCTTTTTGACCCTGGTCTCCTGCCGCCTACAGTCCTTCCGACCTGCATCATCTACTATGGTCCTTCCGACCTCCATCACCAGACAATGGTCTTTCCGGCCTCCAACCTATCGACTATGGTCATATCAACCAAACAAACATGTCTATATTGTAACTCCCACCATGTAATGCGCTCTATATGATGTATATTTGTATCATTAAGCCAAGGCCTTCTCCCAAGGAAGGGTCTCATTTGTAATCGACTACAAATACTAGTGGATTCATTCAAGCTGGGCCAGACCCTGTGGTTTTTCCTCCTTTTCACAGGTTTTCCACGTAAAAACTCTAATGTCCCTTTTGAATGCTACACCCTCTCACTTATCTGATTGTGTGCTGGATGTTTGTACAATGCTAAGACGTTAAACTATATATATTTCACTACTGCCGCGAATACTCCAGGATGCAATATATATATTAAATATGTTAAGAGAAATCAACCTTGCATATTTTACCTATCCAAAATTATTTCAGTGTTACACGAAATGTGAATCTTAATTATCAAAACCGAAGAATACAAACAACGTATAGCAGTACTGCAACAGCCCAAGCGTATTTTTCCCTTTCATAAAGCATATCTTGGAAACTACACAAGACCAACACAAAAACTTATCACAAATTAATAGCTGAGAACTGAAGAAATGACCAAAATAAAATACATTACGGCATTACCTAACCAGTTGTCATAGTCAACAAGAGCAAAGATAGAAAATATTTCTAGCATTTAGCAATTCATTAAAAAACAATGCCAACGCGGGTATATCTTTTGATAGAGAATAATTTGTTAGTCACTAACCAGAGATTGGATGCCAGCAGAAAGAGATTCAAAGGAGAATCAGTTAGGAGCAGTGTAAATGGGAAGAATTGCATCAGATTTTTTATTTTTTTTTAGAACGTGCTGGTGTTGTGTACTCGAACATTCCGATGCTGTAGAGTTTGCTGGAAACCACATAGAGTAAAGCGTCACAACGCTGCATAATGCTGCAGCGCAGTGGATTTGAGCTGTACAACATCATGATGATAGAGACTTGAGAGCATCAGCTGGTTCCACAGCGCTTCGAGGTGAACTGAACAATTTTCTTTCTTGATTTTTCTAAAGGGTGTCATCCTTTGATGTTATTTACCTGACTTTCTCTTCTAATTTGCACACAAGAATGGTGTAAGATAGAAGATAAGCAATGTGAGCGAGAGAGAAGAGAGATCTGTATTTATTTTGCTCCCATTTTCAAATTGAATTTCTTGTGTGGTGTGGCTCCATAATTTTTTCCCGATTTCAGAATTTTCTACGTTAAATCTGATGTCCTTTTCTTTCCGCTGCATTTTTATTTTTCTTGTTTGTTTCATCGATCATAGTGTTTACTTCCATCCCCAACAATTCACAATATTTCTTTTCTAATCTCAAATTTGAAAAGTGAATGCATTTCAACTTGATTAGGTCCAATGATTTTTTTTTCTCCCGACTTTTAAGTAAGAAAAAAAATCTCATATACATTGCATTTAACTCTTTTGATTATGTGTAGAATTTTCATTTAAAGCAAAGTAAACAAGTTCTCTCTTTACCGCTACAAATATTCTTGAAAATATGATTTCTCCAATAGGAAACCATCATACATTTCATTAATAAAATGAATATGAACACATTTCTTACAAGCCCAATTATAGAATTCCAATTTGGAAATGTAAACAACTTATGAACATAGACATTATACAAGTTCCTATAACAAGAGCAACATACCACTCAAGAACCATGACAACACTTCATTTACTTACAAAAATTCTATTGGTCATTCATTAAAAAAATACCTGAGGAATTAGGGGTTCTCAAATTTTTTGCAAAGAACAGTACATAGTAAGGATTGCACAATAAAAGATTATGATGATGAACATTAGGGCTGCAAATGAACCGAGCCGAGCCGAGTATGTTTGTGTTCATTTAATATCAGGTTTTTCAAGTTTGGTTCATGTTTGTTCGATCTTTATTGATTGTGTTCATGTTTGGTTCATTTAAATTAATGAGTGCTCAAGCTCGGTTCATGTTCGTTTGTTTAGTGCTTATCGAGCTTTAAACAAACAAACATGAACAAGATATAAACGAAATCTACTTTTAGATGTTCATGAACTTAGCAAACGAGCTTTATCGAGCTTCCTAACAAACGATTACATCGAGCATGTCCGTGAATTTATCTATTTTTTTTTTTTAATTATCAAACAAATACGTTCATGAACATATCTATGAACAAATACACTTATAATAGAAGCAATTGTCTATGGTGGATGCTCTTGCTCTTTCTTATTTTTTCCTAATGCAACCTTCTCCCATCTCTTCTAAAGTTATTATCGCAAATAGTAAATTTAAGGCTCTTTGCTCGGTGGAGACCTAACCTTCCTCTGATAAAATCCCTCCCCTAAAGGTTATTATGCAACATTACAAGAAAGAAGCCAAAAGAACTAATGGATGTAATATTTGAAGCCAAAACTTACTGTCAACACGAGCTTTAGCATTGTCGGGGAGAAGGATGAGCGGAGAAATGAGAAGATTCGTTAGAGTGCCTCGACGAGAAAATTAGGAAAGAAAGAAAACCTAGTTCGTTAAACAAACAAACTTGAACAAATACATTTACATTATTTATATTTAATAATTATATAATCAAATATTAATTATTTTTATCGAGCTTATTCACGAGTTCAAAATCTAACACGAATCGAGCTTCTTATCGAGTTTAATTTCGAGCTTGTTCATGAACTTCAAATGATGTTGTTCGCGAACATAAATGAGCCGAACGCATTAGTGTTCAAATTTGTTTATTTAAGAATCGAGAATCTAAAATATTGTTCAAATTTATTTATTTAGTTAATTAAACGATCACAAATGAGCTTTAATCGAACCGAATAGCGAGTAGCTCGTCGAACGTTTGGTTCGTTTGCAGCCCTAATGAACATTGTAAAACAATTTTGAAAAAATGAGAAATTATTTTTTCCTTAGAGAATAAATCTTACATCTAAGTAGAGGAGGCCGGCGCTCTAGATCGTAAAGTGAGGAGAGAGGAGGCCAACATTAGAGCCGGCATGTAGCTATGGTCAGGAGAGGCCTTCGTGTCACACACCCTCTTGAGTTCAAAGTCAGTGTCAAGGTTGGGGATGGGAACGATGACTAGTAACATAAATTAGGATTTAAGAATGAAAGGTTTTGATATTTTATTAAATTGTCTTTACATTTTAAGTTTTAATCAAGACCATTTAATTGATCGCAAATCAATGAAATTTTTTTTTATTTTTTTTTTAACTGGCTGGTTTTAAAAATTGGCAATGATTCGTTGGTTCAATGTAGTTTCTTCTGGTTCTTGTGAATACGGTTATGGGAGAAGACTGAATAGGCCGGTTTAGGAGTGTAAACGAGTCGAGTTTAGACCCTTATCAAGCTCGGCTCGTTACATGGAAAGCGAGCTCGAACTAGAGCTTGAGCTCGAGTCGAGCTTGAACTCGAGCTCGTTTAACTGTAAACGAGCTCAAGCCGGCTCAACAGCCATGGGCGGGAATTTTTAAATATAGGTGGGATTTTTAAAAATTTTAAAAATTAAGCGGGATTTTTAAAACTTAGATAAAATTTAAAATATATATATGAAATGTTTAACATTTAAATAAAAATTAGATTATTATTTTTTAAAAATATTTATATTTAATACATAAAATAAAATTATTTAAAGTATTAATATTTATTCGAGCTCGAACTCGAACTCGATAAGCTCAGCTCGTGAGCCCATAAACGAGTCGAGCTAGAGCCGGGTCGGCTCACTTATACCCCTAGGCCGGTTGACCCATGCTCATTTCAACCAGTTGAACATATCAGTTCGATTTTGTTTTTTAAAATATTGGTATTAACTTAAAATTACTTTTGTTAACAATGAATGCACCCTATTACTCTCTCACAAGATTAAAAAGTTATTGAAAATCTCACTAAGGGCTTGCTGATTAAACCATCCAAATCATAGTCGAGTCAAGCTACCAACTGATGCCAATTGGTCTGATCATCTGTACTTAGATTTGGATAACATAATCAATTTGACCAATTGGTCATTTCATTTATAAATTTTCTTCAAATTAGAGCTTTTTGAATTACTCAACATGATTTTGAAATTTCTAGTATCATAATTTGATTGTTTTTTTTTTTTTTTACTGAATTAGAATGTAAAAATACTTATAATAATCATATCAATTTATAAGTCTCCTCAATATTATTGTATGATGGAAGATAAAATAATCATCAAAATTGATAATTTTCCATAAAAAATATTGTTTATATACTTATCATCACAAAACACATTTCCAACACAAACAGCCCAACACCAAAATTCTAATACAACAATGCTCATATAGCTCATCAAGCTACAAATTAGTTCAAGCATAAAATACAAACATCCACACAATACAAAACATATCAAATACAAATGATCTGTGCCTAAAACAACAATAATTTAGACTTCGATTAACACAACTTTCTTATTGCTTTTTAAATCAGCTTTTTAATACAAAAAATTCTTAAATTAGAAATTTTTGTATTAAAAATCTGCTTTAAAAAACAGTAAAAAAGCCTTACCAAGCGAAGCTGACCTCAATCTAATTATATAAATAAAAACATAGAACTAACTGTTTCAATATGAAGGCTTCTGTTATCATGGGCTTTTACTAGCAGGTGGTGGTGAAAGAAAAGGAATGGATGGGAAAGTGGGAAAGGAAGGCAATGGAGGCAGTGATAGTTTTGGAATGCTTGGAATCTGGGGAATTGCTGGAATGCTTGGAATCTTAGGAATTTCTGGAATGGCAGGGATGGCCGGAATTGGAGGCAAAGCAAGCTTAGGAATCACAGGCACGATGGGCAAAGGTGGCAGAAGCGCCGGCAGCGGGATAGATGGCAAAGTTGGCTGTGACGGTGTCGTGTCGAGGAGATAACGTCCACCATGGCACAGAGAGCTCTCGAGCAAGGCGAGTGCGAAGAAGAAGCAGAAGAAATGGTTCATGAGAGCCATTGATGTTGATGGAAGGGGGGATTGGGGGAGAAGAAGAGTTGTTTGATATGTGATTGATGAGAACAGATGAGGATGGTTGTGGGTTATATATAGCTGATGGAAGAACTAAGGTGAAGATGTATTGTTTGGTCATAAGGTGGGCAGTTAATTAGCTAGCTAACATGAAGAAAAATGCCATTTATGCAGGCTTTATTTAGTCGTTGAAGTAGCGAGGTAAAAATTTTCCCTTGTTGCTGTTATTGTTTGTTCAACTTCCCAGCTTCCTCGCCATTTCTAGGAAGGCATGGCCCGTACACTACTTGTGTTAGCTTCTCTTCACTTCGAGAAGCTGTGGGATTTTTCTGACCACCAGGCCTGATTAAGGTTACGTTTGGGACCGGTTTTAGATCATTATTTTTTGTGTTTTTATTAGATTTTTAAACTAAAAATTAGCTTTTTATAAAGCAGGAAGAAAGCCATTCCAGATGAAGCCTAATATATGATGGGAGCAAGAAGGGATATTTAAAATATGGTTGTGTAGTAGCTCTAAATGCAATCAATTTCATAATTCTCTCTGGCTCTTGAATGCTACCAGCTTATATTGTGAAAATTTTTGAAGAACTGAGGTTTATTTAAAATGTGGGTAATTCGATTCTTATCCAAAAATTGTCCCATAATATTTTAATTATGACCAATAATGAATGGGTCAATCGATTTGGAATTATTTCTAAATCTAAATAAACTTTTGTTTGGAAAGTTTTAATTAATGGCTCATTATTATAATAGATTAGACAGTAAGTTATTTTCCTAATTAATTGATTTGATTGGGGATAAGATTATGAAGCTTTTTTCTTTATTGTTTTGTCTCAAATCTATAAATTAAGGAGTTTGAGGGTTTTTGCATGTAAGAGAGAAAGAAATAGCTCATTGTAATTTCTTATTCATCAAATCTAGTGAAATCTCCATCCCTCCCCATGAATGTAGGCATATTCGTTGAACCACGTAAGTCATTGTATTTATTGTGTTGTTTGTACTGTGATTTCTGATATTTATTTTCTACTGTTTGCACAATAATTGGTATCACAGATAGATTCCAGTTGAATTTCCGACGAAAATGATATGAAGAACGGAGAAATTTAGCACTTGTGGTTCGTCCAGGTGAAAGAAAAGTGACGCATGAGCAAATCCACATGACAGAAGATATGCGTGTGGGTCTCTTATAAGGGCTTACGGGCTTGGCTCGATGTCGGATCTCATACAAAAGCTTGGACCATGTAGGCTTCACGCGGAATGGCGGATCAGGTTGTGCTTGAGGGTCACATACAGGCACGTTAAGGTCGAATCAGCAAGGGATGGATAGTGCGGTCAAGCATGCAAGCCACGACACATAGTTATTTACAGACACAAACAATCTTCCCGTCAGTGGTTTCAAAAGTTAACATCTTTTTTAATCAATTTTGGATTCTACTTCAGTAGATCCGATCCATCCCTTCTTCTTTACAATCATGCAAACATTATGTTATACCTTCTAATCTTTGTTGATGATATATTGCTCATGGGAAACCACTAAGACACCATTTAGCTCCTCCTTCGCAACTACAAGATGTTTTCTCTCTCAAACAGCTCAGGTCAGTATCTCTCTTCCTCGGTATTCAAGTACAATGCATGACATCTAGTAGGTTTCTCCATCAAACTCATTACGCTCACGCTATACTTGATGATTCCGGTTTCACATATTGCAAATCAACTGCCGCCCCAATGTCCTTAAAACCTTTTATCGACGCATCCTTAGATACACCATACAATGATCCCACCTTATATTATCAATTAGCCGGCTCTTTATAATACTTAACCATCACCCACCCCGACCTCGCCTTCGCAACCAAGCATATATGCCAGAGCATGCAAAACCCATCAAATCGTGACCACCAAGCTCTCAAATGCCTCCTTCACTACATCAAGGGAGCACAACATTTTGGTCTCCCCCTCACCCCAAGTGAACTCTCATCGCCTACATAGATGCAGAGTGGGCAACTAATTACACCAACAGAAAATCCATCTCAGTTTCTATACTTACTTTGGAAATAACTGCATTTAATAGCATGTTAAGAAGCGAACTACCATGGCAAAATCATCTACAAAAGCCGAATACAGATCCCTCTCCTCATTCACCTCAGATGTTATTTGACTTCGACCATTAGTCACGGATTTTCAACCTCCACAACAACAACCAACCTCCATATATTGTGACAACATTTAAGCACTAGCTCTATCAAACAACCCAGTCTACCATGTCAAGACTAAACTCATAGAAATTGATTATCATTTTATTAGCGATCACATCAAGAGCAGAGAAATTGAAGTCTTTCATATCAGCTTCATAGATCAACATACGGACATATTCACCAAACCACTTTCAGCAACTCGCTTTCACAGTCTACAAGACAAATTAACTATCCAACAGTTAAATACTTAATTTAAGGGGGGTGTTAACAAACCAGTCCATTGAGCTACAGGTTTTACTCAACATATTATAGTCCATCTGCATTAGTTGTCAGACCCAACTCCACTTCCTCCGTTACAAAAGAATTATGAAGATTTCTGATTCTTCCTAACAACTTGTCCATTATTCCTTTACATACATACTATATATATATATATATATATAGTTGGATAAAACTCACCAATGGGCATACGTGTTAATATAATAAAAGGTTACAAGATCCTAAAGGGGACCTCAAGCCACTGCTGCTCAAATAGCTACAAACAAAGCAAAAAAATAAGAAAGATAATAGCTTAAGGTCCCTACTAAATTACAATGAAGAACAAAAAGAAAATAACAAGATAGAGCAAAAGGCGCCGACGATGAAAGCCATCCAGCACATAACAAGAAAAGCCAATAATAGAACATAACTGCCCCAACCAAACAAAAGGGACTAACCAATAGAAGAACACAAATGAGCATTAGAACGAGTGACCCAATTGAAACCTTGAAACGTTTATTTTTGTTTTTCTTAACTTGCTTGCTAGAAAACATAGTAAATCCCTCATTATCCACTTGCACAACGTTTAAATTACTATCTTCTCTCAAAACGTTAGAGAAACCATGATTATTCCTCCCATCACTCCAGTAGTC